TCACTACAATCTTAAGCTATTCAAGTCTAGGATAAACCATTATCTTTACCATATATCCCCATAAATTGGGCCTTTTAAACTGTAACCCTCTATGTTGAGTGGCTCTTGGGTGTTGTACAAGGTGAAAATCACTGTTAAAAAAATAATCATACTTTTAAAGTAAATATTGGAGAGACCTGATTAATTTAATTAGGTTTTTTTTTTTTCGTTTTTTTAATTAATTCACCCCAAGCAAGGCAGTAATGCCACTAAGATGCAAGACGGCTACTGGGTGTGAAATAGAATGAAAGGACTTTAGAAGCAATCAGAAATCCAATCCTAAACAGAGAACAAGGGATAAATGTCTACTCTTATTCAGGAAGCGGGGGTGGAGTGTAAATCAGTATATGCAGACCTATCTACTCCTATTAAGAAGAAAAAAATAAATAATAAATAAACTATGAATTCAGGGAGACATGTTAAAAGTGTAGTTATATTATAGTAGTTTTTAAAAAAAACTGGAAACTCTATGCTGAACAGGAAACCAGTAATAAATCTCACCTGTTCAAAAGACTGGGGAGGAGTGTGAACTGGGCGATAGACAAACATATATACTCCTATTGATGAAGCACAATTTTTGTGATCATATAGTTACAACACTTTTGATGATGGACATGACAGTTACTCATTTGTTTCTCTCAAGAAGCTAATTGAGTTTGCAAGGGTCCAACAAATCTATGATTTATCAGTTGATTTTGAAAGGCTTCCATTTTCTTGTGTGAAGTTGAGCTCCATTTCATGCAGCCGATTCCATTGAGAACAGCAAGCAATACATAGACGTTAGGTCTTTCTTTTGATGCTACAAGGTATCTGATAAGATGTAGCTATTTCTTTATTCTTCTCAAATACAATCACATTAAGCTGAATAGCAGCTGTCCCAAGCATTTTGGCATCACAACTTAGAATGTAGGTAAATTAAATCCCAAATTTGTTTCATTGGCTTATCATAGATATTAGTATGGGAGGGTTGGTATCAGTTGCTATATTTTTAGTTCTTGAGAGAGTAATAAAAAAAAAATTTTAAAAAATCTAACCTCAGCTGAGAGAAAAATCAAAAGAAGTCTGCAAATCTTTATCACCTGGTTATGGCAGCAAAATAATCATTTATATATAAGTTTAATATTGTAATATTTATTTATTATTAGTAGAATGTTATATGCAATAAGGTATATATTAATATACCCATTATTATTCTTTCTCTCTCTCTCTCTAATACATATATATATATATATATATATATATATATATATAATCTCTAAGTATAGAATTGGTGTAGATGGAATAAATTCCAATATCCAAAAATACTATTAAAAAGTGCTCAGTACAGAGTAGAGCAAATGTTTATTCAAAAATTATAATGTAAACATGTTATAACATCACTACAAAAATAGCCATTTTGTTTAAACACTTCTAGTATATATATATAATACACACACAGGGGAATCAAATATTTGTAAATATACAAATATTTAATTTATTGTATTTCCAACTAATGAATAAACATACTTTTCATATAATGTGTACACAGATGCATAACAACAGAAAATTTGATTTAATAGAAATAAATCCCATTTATCCATTTTAATGGGTGAAAAAAGTATTTGTACAATACAAAAAAGAAAACATAATTTTCATTTAATACTTTGTAGAACCGCCATTATTTACTTCTACAGCAACCAACCTCTTCTAGGTTTCAGTTAATGATTTGCAAATTTTAGTTGGTATTTTGTTCCGTTCTTCTTCGCATATGGTCTTTGATCGAGGTGTTTGTTACAGCTCTCGATTGGATTTGAATTTTCAAATAACACCACAAATTCTCGATTGGGTTTAAATCTGGGGTGTGATGTGGCCATTTCAGGATAGAAGAGGTTTTTTTGTGGCTGTTGAGGAAATGCTCTCAGCTATGAGAAGCAATAAATCTGTTAGTTGTGTGACTGTTGTTATAGCAAGGGAATTTTGATAGACCCTACCAATTATACCCTGCAGAAATTGTTCCAGTTTCTTAGCTTTCACTACAGCAGGCCTTTTTAAATTTTTTTTTGAATTGCCACTCCCCTTTTGTGGAAAGAAATCTATCACATCTCATTTAATAAAATAATTTCACACCTTTTCTACCTGAGGGAACTCATGCATTTCCAGTAAAATCAGGTATTGGCAATTTTCACAATGGAAGGCTCTGTGTAAAAGCATACTTTTAAAAATGGCTTGGCGATATTTTTTTTTTTTTTTCCTCTTAGGAAATGTCAGTTGAGACAATTTCTCTTCCTTTTCAGCAAAGTTTTAAAATACATGTTTATTCTTTCTAACAAATTACTCGGCACTTATTTCGATTAAGTGCGTTACTTAGAATGATTGTTTCAAATCGAATGTCAAAATTTACTCTGCTATTAGAGCAGACATTGCTCTTTCCTATCTGCTTTGTTTATTCTTACATCCAACAAATGATTCTGGGTCTGATGATAAACTACATCTGGCAGCAAGGCCTCTGATTGGGAGATTGTAGATTTTGAGGAGCGCAGAACCATCACTTAATTGCTGTTGTTCCTAGGTCCACCCTGACCCAGAGTGGCAACACCTGCTAGGGTCCCATCTATGGACAAATAGTAAAAAAACAAAACCCGACGAAAGTATAAAAATATTTTTATAGTAAAAATACCAGCAGTATATTTTTATATAAAAAAAATTACTTGGAATACCTATTTTTTTTTTTTTTTTTTTTTGTAAAATTACCAGTGATACCTGCTTATAGTAGAATTTCCAACAATACATTTTATAGCAAAATGACTGATACATTTTATGTGTAATAGAAGGCATATAATTACGTTCAAAATATATTTAATTGAAGCCATAAAATTGTGTTCAAAATATTCAGGTTTCTGCATTAATAAATAAGTATAATGCCAACTGAAATAAGTAACCAAGTAATTGTTTACAAATTTACAAAAAGACATAGCTTCTCTGTACATTTTTTATAAATATTTTCATAATAATTGTTCTGATGAACTTCCACTTAAGTACCTAGATTTAATGAATTTAAATGCAGTACTAGATTGGCAGCTAGGTCTCATCATTTTACACTTGAAATGGTGAGATGTAATCATAAGTTCTATTTTAACAGTTTCCTCTCACACATTTCTTGCTTGTGGAACTCTTTTCCAGCTTCATGCTTTGCAGTCAACTTTGATCTTAAAAAATTTGCATGCAATGTCAATCATGATCTTTTGTCTCCTTGAATACTGTGCTTTTATTGTGCTTTCTTCTTAATATTGATTTAACCCATTGCATCTTTTAATTGTATCACCCCATGCAAGGCAGTAAAGCCACTAAGACACAAGGGTTTACAGGGTGTGGAAGAATTAGGAACAGAAACCGTAGTAATGAGTGGAAAAGGAAAAGAGTAATCAGAACAGTAGATAACGATTGACACTGCATTTAAATTTTTGCAGATTAAAGTTGGCTGGCAAATATGGAGCCAGAAGGGAGTTCCACAAGCAAGAAGTGCAAAAAAAAGAAGCTGTTAGCATTGAACTTATGGCTACATCTCACCAACTCAACTGTAAATTGATGAGATCTCAACACCAGTCTAGTAGTGTGCTTAAATTCATGAAGTCAAGGTACCAAAGTGAAGAGTTCATCCGAACAATTACGATGAAAGTATTTATGGTGATGGGTAAGTAACTGAAGCCAGATGAGGACTAATAATATTGCAGATTCTTCTTTGGATCTTTCCAAGGAGCTTCAGATAAATAGCAGAGGCACCAGACTGTCTGACAGCAAAATCAAAACAGGAAAATGTGGAATTCTTGTTCCAAAGAATGATGCTGTGAAAGAAATTAGCACAAACTGTGCAAATAAGCATCTGAATCACCTTTGAGATTTGTTCAGTCCCAAGCAAGTTCTTCAACTGTCTTTATTTATATTTTGATATTCCTCTTTAGGTGTTTCCTCAAAGGTGACCTACCATAATTCTTTGTTTTTTTTTTCTTGTTTTGTTTTGTTGTTTTACTATCTTTCATCCAATAGAAGATCCAATGTAGTTGCCAAGTAATCAAAGCAAGAGGACATCTCTTTGAGTATGAAAGCCTCATGCCTGAGTAGGCAGCTGAGACACCAAGATAAGCTCACTTGATTGGAAGGGCTAAAAGACCCATTGGTAGAAGGAAGAGTAATAAAGACAGCACAGAAATTAGCTTACTATAGGATTACTATAGCAGTAAGGAAATACTTGTTGGGTGATTAAGCATGACCCTGTAACTACGCTTGGAGGAGGGAGATTTAGTCTAAATAAATTAGCGTTTTAACTTTGAAGTCAGAATGTCCTTTACCTTAGTGAGAAGAGACCCTTAAATTAATAGCTGAAAAACAAAAAAAGCATGAAATTTAAAATACCTCTTTTTTTTTTTTTTTTTTTTTTTGTTAATGTCTCCTTAGTTAAGTCAACCAATATTTAAGGTCCCAGTAACCTTTCCCAGCATCCTTGGTTCTTAACAGAAATAATGGGTTTTCTTGCTTCTGACCAAGCTAATTGAATCCACTGGGAAGTGGATAGTCAAAAATCAAAATGGATGTACAAAGGCATCAATTGGTAGTTTATTCTTTTGTCAGAAACTTAAATTAGTAGCAGTAAACAAAAAAAAATTTAAAATAGCTATTTTTTTTCCTTCATTCCTCTCCTTACTTCAGCTAAATTGCTTCTAACTAATATAAGAGGTTCCATTAACACTTCCCAGCAACTAATTCCTTTATTTAACAGAAAAGAAATGGCTTCTCTTTCTTCTGACCAAGGCAGTGAAACTTCTCAGGGGTGAGATGATATACCCTACTCTGGTTTGTTATAGGATTACTGTAGCACTAATGAAATACCAGTAGGGATTAAGTGTGACTATTATAACTATGAGTAACAGAACAAGAAGCAAACTAAATACATATTGTATTCAAATTTTAACTTTGTTAAAGTCAAAATGTCATCTACCAAGGTGAGGAGAGACCTTTAAATTAGTAGCAGAAAACTACAAAAAAAAAAATGTAAAATAGTTTTTCTTTTTTTTCTTTCTCTCCTTAGCTAAAGCTGCAATATACAAAATTCAATTAACCTTTTCCAGTAGCCTTAATTGCTTTGGTTTTTTTTTAAACAGAAAAACTGGTTTCTCTTGTTTCTGCCCAAAGCATTAGAACTCCAGTGTGAAGCAAATAATACAATATGGAAAAAAAAAATCTACAGATGCATCAAATGATAGTTAATTCTTTTGGCAGCAAAAGTTTAGCTGCAAAAAAAAAAAGAAAATAGGAGCAGAAAAAGCAAAAAATTTAAAATACCTTAATTTTTTTTCATTCCTCTAAGCTAAACTAAGTAACTTCTAACCAATGTATAAATAAAGGAACTTGTTTATCTGTCAAGAATTTACTCCATCTCATCAAGCAAGTTCTCTTGTGCTCAATATATCCTGTAAGTGTTAAATTCTTCCATCTTCATTGTGTCCTGAAAAAATTCCTTCTGATCATTAGCATTTTCTTTGTAGTTCGCATTCACCTTAAAACTTTCTCATTTTTCATATAATCTGCCCCTGATGTTCTCAATACACTTCCAATCTTTTCTTATATATTAAGGAAGGGTTCCCATGTGGCAGATAACCTCCAAAATGAGGACCCTGATTTCTGATTCATATGCTTTATGTGGCTCTGATGAGTTAGAAGCCATTGTCAAAATGCAAGATAAATAACACAAACAGAATTAATAAAGTTTGTAATGAAAAGGAAGAAGAGAAAAAAGGATGAAATATAGTGTTATGGGATCTTACCCATAATAATAATAATGGACTATTCCATACTTAATAAATACTATGCCTCAGGAGTAGGCAAGAAGTGAGTCAGTAGTTCAAGTCGAGTCAGTAGTTCAAGTCAATTACTGCAAGACATTGGAATAGTGATACTAGTCGAGACTACATTGTTCTCTCTACTAAACCTGATTGTTCCTACTAACACTTCTACTTCTCTGTATATATTCCTGTTTGTAATATATCTGTGTTATTCTATATCCACCTTCAAGTTCTTCTTTATTGGTTCTACCTTGGACTATCACCGTGGTACAAGGACCTGGACCATAACAATAGTTAAAGCAAATGAAATAGGTAAGAAGGCAAAAAGAATTCACAAACTGAGTTGGTGTACGGAAAAGCAAGGTTGGACAAGCGGCACAGTAAGTCTGTCTAGTAGTTAAGGCAGATCTGAACTAAGGTTATTTACCTCACCTCCCCACAAGGCAGAACGTGGCACAAGGTTGTTTTTTATGTGGGGCAAATCTGAGCCGGTCTTGTCTAATTCCCCAGACTACTCTTCAGCGTATGTATTTGGGTTCTCTGCCCAAAGAGTTTGAGAAGTCAGCCCAAACCCCATGAAATGTTAGATCTGGACAATGATCATGTCAAAACACAAACCATCCCATTTTATTGGCAAAGAAAAATATCCCAGCATGCATTGTGTGTCCTTCTGACTATAAGATGGGAGAGAGGGCAAGTTTTTGGAATCATTCCCAGCCCCTGTTGGGAAATCAACAGGCCCTTGTGCATGGTCTTTCATTTTCGCCATCATCCACATGTTGATGGAATTATGTTTGACAAAACAGCTGAAAAGATTTTGATATCCTCCCTGATCCTCCTTTAGCTAACATTTGATATTTATAGCAATTTCAATATTCAACACAAGCAGTGGTTGTTCCATTCAAATGAAGCAGATGAAGACGGCAGATACTGCTGTGACTTCTCTATCATTTATAAACAGACTGTGGATAAGCCCACTTTGTGAGCCCATCAAGGATAAGATGATAAACTACATCTGTGTCCTGGGTAAGACAATGAACTACGTCCAGCAGTAAGGCCTCTGATCAAGAGGTTTTGACGAGTGTGGAACCACCTCTTAATTGTTGGTGTTCCTAGGTCCACCCTGACCTGGGGGGATAGCACCTGTTAGGGTCTCAACTATGGGCAAATAGCCAAACTGCTATAAAAGTGTAAAAATAGGTTTTATTATTAGCAATAAATTCTTAAAGAAAAAATTATTACCAATAATACATTATTACCAGCAATAAATTTTTGAAGGAAAAAAATATTACCCGTAATATTTTGTTGTAAAAAAAAAAAAAAATCAGCAATACATTTTTTTGAAAAATATTACCAGTAATAAAAATCTTGTTGGTATTAAATAACCCATTGAGGTTCATATGCTGTAAACCAAACCAAACCAAACCACTTGTGAGCCTGATACAACAAGGTATCTACAAATTTCATAGGCTTTATTTCCCATCTTGTCTTGAAAAATGTGTTGCTGAAGTGTTACCTCCCTTGAGCACTTCAGACCATTCAATGATGAGTGTTAAAATTGATAATTATCCAAAAGCATCCCTTCTATATTTCATTTCATAGGAGAGTCTTTCGATATATTAAAGCTGACTGGGATAGCTCACTGCTGAGGCTCATCCCAGTGTTCTTCAAAAATAGAACCTCAAGAACTATTGCCTCTGTTTCTGAATTGATCCTTTCTACGATGGAATGTTTAGAAATCATAGCTCCCCATTACCACTGCCACCATCTCTATCACATGGAATAGTGTAGTAGGACCCTTGCTGTATTCAGAAGTGCATGCAAACCTTGTATGACAATGTGCTCTACACTGCATAACCTGATGGCATCCAAGATTGGTTGTATGTGTATGCACCCAGCTAGCAATGTTTGTCCACTGGGTTGTAATTGAATTCACTGGTTAGGAAATAGCAACAATATGAATTTTCACTTAGCTGTCTAAATTTTCCTTTGGCTGAACTGCTATTTCCCTAACTTCTCGCTGGTCCCTTCTACCTTTCTGAATGCCAGTCTTTTCCTCACTGGCCGGTCTACTTACTTACTGATTTCCTGCCTCTCTTTATTTATATGGATACTGACTGGAATCCAACCATCCCTATCTGTCCCTTTGTGTTCTGGAACAAGAGACCATTCATTCAGCTTTTTGGGTGGTCAGCTTCTTCAAAGGACTACTTTTATGATTATCAAAAATCATTAACAACATTTTATGTTTGCCAGTTCAAAGGCGGTTGGAAAGAGAATTCCTGAAAAACTCTGACACTTGAGTTGACTCAAAGATGGACTGGAGACAAATTTCCTGAAAGCTTTCGGTACTTAAGTTGACTCAAAGGAATCTATTTATCTTGTAATGATGTGTGAGAAATCGTATTGTTACAGTCACAAGAATTCTAGAAAATGCAAAGAGTAGTTATGTAAAGGTTGAAAACAAAAGACAAGGTCTCCGTTTTCTGGGAAATCACAAAGATTTTCAATCAAAGCAATGAATCAGAGCCTACAATCATGAATATTTTTGAGGTTTTTTGCATTCTCATGAGAAAATGTAGGCTCTTTGCAATGAACTTTGCCTCTCAGACAACTTGGGCCGTCCCTGACTCCCCTTATCTCAGGATCACAAACTTTGGAATATCTCTATTATAGCATGGTAAGTTGAAAGATGTAACAAAAACCTCAACACCATTAACACTACTGGTTCAGATGAAATCCCACTGGCTATTCTTAAGAGAATTACCCCATTCTTGGTTAAATTGTTCAACTACTGACTAATGAGGAAATGAAATGGCACCAGTTTTCAACCCTGTAAATGAAACAACTATATAATCTTAATAGCATTTTGAAAAGGCCATATTGGTAGTTAATCTGAAATATTAACTGGAGCAAGGAATGGCTTGTTAGTTTTAACACCTTCAAAATGAAAAAGCTCTCTACTAATCATCTGAGAGAACCATTTCTGCCTTCCATCAGTATGGCTGATGCTAACCTCTAGGAGTATGAAGTCTTTTTGATTATCATTTTCCACTGACATGAAGAGGAAAGATTATATTTGACTCAGTTGCTAGGTCTGCTGGTTCACTGTCATGCTAGATAATTTTTCTATCTTCCATATTTATAAGTCTACCATTCATCCCTGATTTGAATATCACTGCCAGCTATGATCTGGTCCATCCTGTGTATGACAATAAAACTACATCCGTGTCCTGGGTAAGACGATAAACTACGTCTCTGACAACAAGGTCTCTGATCAGGAGGTTTTGAGGAGCGTAAAACCACCATTTTAATTGCTGGTGTCCCCAGGTCCACTCTGAGCCTGGATGTTAGCACCTGTTGTTAGGGTTCCAACTATTGGCAAATAGTTAACCCTTAAACTGGGGTTAAAACTATGGAAGTGTAAAAATAGGTTTTAATACCAGAAAAAAAATTATCAGAAATATATTATTACTAGCAATACATTTTTGAAAAAAAAAATATTACCAGCTATACATTTTTTTTTTTTTTTTTAAGTTTTAGCAGCAATAGATTTTTGAAGGAAAATATATTACGAGCAATAAAAAATTTTGTCAGCATTAAATAACCCATTGAGGTTGATATGCTGTAAAACAAACCAAACTATGATCTGGTGCTCCTGCTATATATTTAGAGATTCTTGATAACATCTAAAGAAAAATCTGCAATGTTATTGGTCCTGACCTGGCATCGCAGCTTAACTTTCTCACCACCACAATGTAACTTCTCTGTGCATTTTCTATAATTACTATCAGAGTAATTGTTCAGATGAACTTTCCTCTATCATATGTCAACTTTACAAATCTAAGTGCAGTACTAGATTGGCAGCAAGGTCTCATCATTTTACAATTGAAATGGCTAGATGTTAGCATAAGTTCTATGCTAACAGTTTTTTTTCTCTTGCACTTCTCGCTTGTGGAACACTTTCAGCTTCTTGCTTACCAGTCAAATTTGATTAACAATTTAAATGTCAATCGTTATCCCAGTTCCTGTTGTTGTTTTCACTCATTAATAATGATTTTTTTTTTAATTTTTCATGTTCATTAACCCCTCCACCTGTGTCTTAGTGGCTTTTAGTGCCTTAGTTGGGGTGAAATGATTAGAGCAAAAGTATATGGAAGATATCAACTATACACATTTGTTTTCAAGAATATGAATGAGTGCCCAACCCTGTCTCAGTATCGATCCCTCAGTCTCTGTGGTGTCAACAGCAAACACTTGCAGTCTTTGATCAGCAAGAACATTGTTGATTTCCTCAACAGGAAAAATCTGGCAAGTGACAATCAGTATAAATTTCACTTTTATTGGCCCACTGCTGATGTCCTATCATTGTACACAGAATCAGTGAGGCATTAGACAATACATACATTACCAGAGTGATTGTCTTAGATAGATCAAAAGCCTTTGACAAGGTATGAAATAGGAGTTTGCTACACAAACTTTCTGGCTATTGTATTCTCTAAAGGGGTTTCCTAATAAAGTCCTTCCTAATAGGTACATCTCTGTTAATAGTGAGTCTTCCACCCTCTTGAACCAGGAAAGCACTACCTCCTCAAAGCACTTGATGTAGGCATCTGTGGGGAGATGAATGGAGGCATAACTTCGCCATCACTAGTGATCCCTACAACCACCATGATGTTGATTGGATGTATCATCCAACTCTTTCAGAATCCTCTTCACTGTTCTCAGATTGGCACCCAAACACTCTGAAGTATCCATATTAGAGCTTCCAGCATTAATACCAAGCAGTACTGCAGCATGCTGTTTCTAAATTTCTGGCACAGTGAATCTTATCATGGTGCTCTTTTTCTCAAACAATGGTTGTTGACAATTTACTCATCGCACCCTGTAGAGTTTAATCGTTCACATGGCCTCATGTGTGAGAAATTATTTTCTACCCTACAATTCCACAAATTCAGACCTTTACAGCAAAGACCCACCATGCTGTACCCACGGTCAAACCCCACTCTTATTCCTGCTATTTTCCTATTAGAGGATAAAATTTCACTTTTCTTTTTTTTCTTTTTCTTTTTTCTTTCTTTTTTTCGTTTTTTCTTTTACTTTTTTTCGTTTTTTCTTTTACTTTTTTTCTTTTTCTTTTTTTCCTTTTTCTTTTTTTCCTTTTTCTTTTTTTTTTTTTTTTTTTTTTTTCATTTTTTTTTTTTTTTTTTTTTTCCTTTTTTTCCTTTTTTCTTTCTTTTTTTTTCTTTCCTATTCCCCTTTCTTTCCTATTCCTATTCCCTTTCCTATTCCCCTTTCTTTCCTATTCCCCTTTCTTTCCTATTCCCCTTTCTTTCCCTTTCCCTATTCCCCCTTTCTTTCCTATTCCCTTTCTTTCCTATTCCCTTCTTTTTCCTTTCCTTTCTTTCCCCCTTTCTTTCCTATTCCCCTTTCTTTCCTATTCCCCTTTCTTTCCTATTCCCCTTTCTTTCCTATTCCCCTTTCTTTCCTATTCCCCTTTCTTTCCTATTCCCCTTTCTTTCCTATTCCCCTTTCTTTCCTATTCCCCTTTCTTTCCTATTCCCCTTTCTTTCCTATTCCCCTTTCTTTCCTATTCCCCTTTCTTTCCTATTCCCTTTCTTTCCTATTCCCCTTTCTTTCCTATTCCCCCTTTCTTTTCCTATTCCCTTTCTTTCCTATTCCCCTTTCTTTTTCCTATTCCCTTTCTTTCCTATTCCCCCTTTCTTTCCTATTCCCCCTTTTTCTTTCCTTTCTTTTCCTATTCCCCTTTCTTTCTTTTCCTATTCCCTTTCTTTCCTATTCCCCCTTTCTTTCCCTATTCCCCCTTTCTTTCCTTTCTTTCCCTTATTCCCTTTCTTTCCTATTCCCCTTTCCCTATTCCCTTTCTTTCCTATTCCCTTTCTTTCCTTTCTTTTTCTATTCCCCTTTCTTTCCTATTCCCCTTTCTTTCCTATTCCCCTTTCTTTTTCCTATTCCCCTTTCTTTCCTATTCCCTTTCTTTCCTATTCCCTTTCTTTCCTATTCCTTTCTTTCCTATTCCTTTCTTTTTTCCCCTTCCTTTCCTATTCCCCTTTCTTTCCCTATTCCCCTTTCTTTCCTATTCCCCTTTCTTTTCCTATTCCCCTTTCTTTCCTATTCCCCTTTCTTTCCTATTCCCTTTCTTTCCTATTCCCCTTTCTTTCCTATTCCCTTTCTTTCCTTTCCTATTCCCCTTTCTTTCCTATTCCCCTTTCTTTCCTATTCCCCTTTCTTTCCTATTCCCTTCTTTCCTTTTCCTATTCCCCTTTCTTTCCTATTCCCCTTTCTTTCCTATTCCCCTTTCTTTCCTATTCCCCTTTCTTTCCTATTCCCTTTCTTTCCTATTCCCCTTTCTTTCCTATTCCCTTTCCTATTCCCTTTCTTTCCTATTCCCTTTCTTTCCTATTCCCTTTCTTTCCTATTCCCTTTCTTTCCTATTCCCCCTTTCCTATTCCCCTTTCTTTCCTATTCCCCTTTCTTTCCTATTCCCCTTTCCTATTTTTCTTTCCTATTCCCCCTTTCTTTCCTTTTCCCTATTCCTTTCCTATTCCCCTTTCTTTCCTATTCCCCTTTCTTTCCTATTCCCTTTCCCCTATTCCCCTTTCTTTCCTATTCCTTTCTTTCCTATTCCCCTTTCTTTCCTATTCCCTTTCTTTCCCCTTTCTTTCCTATTCCTTTCTTTCCTATTCCCCCTATTTTCTTTCCTATTCCCCTTTCTTTCCCTATTCCCCTTTCTTTTCCTATTCCCCTTTCTTTCCTATTCCCCCTTTCCTTTCCCTTCTTTCCCTATTTCTTTCCTATTCCCCTTTCCTTTCCTTTATTCCTATTCCCCTTTCTTTCCATTCCCCCCTATTCCCTTTTTTCCTATTCCCCTTTCCTTTCCCTTTATTCCCCCTTTCTTTCCTATTCCCCTTTCTTTCCTATTCCCCTTTCCTATTCTTTCCTATTCCCCTTTCTTTCCCCTATTCCCCTTTCTTTCCTATTCCCCTTTCTTTCCTCCTTTCCCCTTTCTTTCCTATTCCCCTTTCTTTTTCCTATTCCCCTTTCTTTCCTATTCCCCTTTCTTTCCTATTCCCTTCTTTTCCTTTCTTTTTCCTATTCCCCTTTCTTTCCTATTCCCCTTTCTTTCCTATTCCCCTTTCTTTCCTATTCCCCTTTCTTTCCTATTCCCCTTTCTTTCCTATTCCCCTTTCTTTCCTATTCCCCTTCTTTCCCCTTTCTTTCCTATTCCCCTTTCTTTCCTATTCCCCCTTTCTTTTCCTATTCCCTTTCTTTCCTATTCCCCTTTCTTTCCTATTCCCCTTTCTTTCCTATTCCCCTTTCTTTCCTATTCCCCTTTCTTTCCTATTCCCCTTTCTTTCCTATAACAACTGCTGCTTAGTGGAACAGACACCTGTGTAGATGCTTCACTGAACACAAGAATATTTTCAAGTCAAGAATTAATTTTTATCTATCCTAGATTCAACTTCTCTCATTCAATAACTCACTACCTTGAGTTGTTCTTGAGCCTTGTATTGGATGAACATTAGTAAGGCTTGGAGACATATCACATTGAAACAGTGGTTCTTGTATGATCACTGAAATTAAGCAACATTGAGCCTGGTCAGTACCAAGATCGATTAATTGAAGAGACGAGTTCTAATTCCCATTAAGTTAATTATATTCACTTGTGCACAATTACTCTTGGGGAAAAGTGTTCATCCACCTCTTCTCCTCCCCAGGTATGACTTAATTAGAAAGACTTGTATTACTAAACTATTATTATTTCCAAAGCCAGGAAAAAAATCTCACAATCTAGAGATATTTCTTAGCTTTAAATAACTTGGAAAGGGTTGATAAACTGTAGAAAATGAATCAATGAATGAAATAAAAATGAGCTACAAAGGCATGACTTTTAGATTTATTTACATTCTCTGGAATATAAATGTATAGAAAATACCGTGGCCACAAAATGAGGGATCAATTTATATATTAACTAATGTAGAATTGATCCCCCATTTATATCCAAATTATTTCTTGTTTGTTGATAAGCCCTAGAAAACGAATCAATCACTGATTAGCTACAAAGGCATGTCTAAGATTTATTTACATTCTCTGGAATATGAATGTATAGAAAATACCGTGGCCACAAAGGATCAGTTTATATATTAGCTGTAATGTAGAATTGATCCCCCATTTTACATCCAAATTATTTCTTGTTTGTTAAGCCCTAGAAAACGAATGTCAGTCAACCAATAAAATACTGATTAGCTACAAAGGCATGTCTACAAGATTTATTTACATTCTCTGGAATATGAATGTATAGACCACAAAGTGGGGGATTCGTTTATATATTGACTGTGATACAGAACTGATCCCCCACTTTATATCCACATTATAATTTCTTGTTTATGAAATTCTGATTAGGTATGAATCCAACTCTTTCCCCTCCCTCCAGCTATGGGCTAATTAATAAGATTTTCACTAACCCCTCTCCCATAAATCCTGTTATTTCATGCACCGAAATCATTATACTGACATCTTTTATTCTGAACTGTGCCCCTTGCTGGAAAATTATTCAAGATACACATTACATTTGTACTTAGGTTTTATAGATTACAAAAATGCATTTGACAAGGTACAGCACGAGCATCTTTTTTGAATTGCTAGGTAAACTCGATCTATTTGGAAAATGCTAGAATAATCTAGAATTTATTCTGGGAACAAACTGCTTGCATATGGATAGGAAATGAATTTAGTAGCTACACAGAACTAGAAATGGGTGTGAGACAAGGATGTCTCTTCTCTCCAGATTTATTCAACCACTACAGCAACATGATCCTCCTGAACTGGAGACTGAACCAGTATTTATCAGTGGATATAATCTTAACAATATAAGATACGCAGATGACAGGATCTCCTCGACAGGGTGGTAGAAGAAAGTGTGGTAAAAAAGACTAACCATTATTAGCAAGAGAAAAATCCAAAGATGTGTGTTAAAAATTATAGATGCTAACATCTAGCAGGTGTAGAAGATTAAATATCTGGGAAGTGTTTTAACAGAGGATGGAAAATGTGACATGAGAGCTGAACACAGATTGGATTAGCAAAAGATAAAAGCTAAGTAAGGTGCTGAAAAATGGTAAGGATTAATTAGAAAGAAAAGAGTGCTGGTTTTCTGTGTGATATCCATAGTCTTATATAGCAGTGAATGCTGGACAAACTCCATACAGATTAGGAGAGAACTAAAGACCCCAGAAGGATATTGAATATTCCATGGACAGAATGAGTAAGTAATAAGGAAATCTTAAAGAAAATGGCAACAGAAAGAACACTTCTACCAAGAATCAGGAAAAAGTAGTTGAAAGGACTCATAATGAGGAAAGTTGGCTTGGAAAACTTAACCTTCATGTGGCATCTTACAGCAAGAGAGATAAGGGACAGCTTTAAGTCATTTATCTGATGAGTTTGTGTGAATGGATGGTATAACATGGTTGCCTATGCCCTGAAGATTACCAAGACAAGTGATATTACCAAGGATATAAACCATATAATCTGATTGGTCAAATGAGATGAGATCAAAGGAGTGTCAGGCCAATGGCTTGTCAACTTTGTGACCTTAAACAGTTTGAAAAAGTCAGTCAGCTGAAGTAATGGTCAAGTGTTTCTTTGGTCAAAATTGAGACACGCAGCATTTGACGTGTGGCTGGCTTGTCACTGAAAAGGTCAATGAGTTTGAAATAATCTCAACAATTAGATTGCAAACCAGTTATAAAATAACAGAGGCCATGGGAATAACTTGAGGCAACTTTATGAAACCAATCCATTAGTTATTGCTTTGGCATCAGCTGTGAGCCAAGTTAATATGCAGTTTAATTATATAAGGTTTCTGACATTTTTCTGGCACACTGACGAGGATTCACAAAGATTTATGCTACTTACATGCAAACTATTTTCCTCATCTTTGTTGTTGTCATCACAACATTTCAGCTGTTGTTCCCTCCAGCAACAAAAATGAAGACAATAATCCACATGTAAATAATGTAAGTAATGATAATGCCTTCATCATAGAAATACAGATATTCCTAAGGACTTTTGAAATAAGGGACTTAGAAATTGATGTGATGAAGAATAGCATACTGAATTGTTTGGTGATATCAAACTTCATAACAGATGAAGATAGTCCAGGGTATGATGATAAACTACATCCAGCAGCAAGGTCTCTGATTGGGGGAGTGGAGATTTTGAGGAGCATGGACCCACCTCTTAATTGCTATTGTTCCCAGATCCACTTGGGTTACCTAACTTTTGTGCAAGAATTTGTACTAAAGTTGTTTTAAATGGTTGCTTGAAAAGACATTTCAATGTGAGTAAACTCAGAGAATTCTTGAATGTCAATCAACATCTCCAGTTGCCTTGATCTATCCACTATCCTTCTCATCATCCTTTCCTCTATCACTCCTATCTGATCTTGCTCCAAATCTTCTGTAACCCCTTGCATCCTAGTGGCTTCCCGCCTTGCTTGGGGTGAAACGCAAAAAAAAAAAAAATTCAATATAAAATGGATTTAGTAACTCCTTTTGATTTTTATATTTCTTTTTGTTACTACCGTTCTGTTAATAGAGGACTTGATTAAGATTTTGGTCCCACCTTTTTACGCCGAACTAGCTCGATACTAATACCACTTTTTTGCATTTATTATTTGTGGAACTCTTCTGATTTACTTTTTCCCTTATAACTACAATTTTCAAAAATCTAAATGCAATGTTGGTTACCATTTTCTGTCTTATTGAACCCTGTTCCTATTTTGTCCTTTCCTCAATCCTCCCCACTAAAGTCTACTGATTCACTTTCATTCTCTGTAACTCCCTGCATTCTAGTGGCATTATTGCCTTGATTGGGGTGAAATGATTAAAAAAAAAAAAAATGAATACTGTTGCTTATAAAATAATTGTGAATATGATAAACATTCACCAGTGAATTAAGTGCATTGACAAGGAAGGACATTTTGTTAAACTGCTCATGTTGTGGTCGAAAAACCATCTGCTTCTCTTACTTCAAGCCTTCTCCTCTTCCAACAGTTACTCCACATGAAGACTCAAATGAACCAAAAAGTAAACCTAAACCAGCCCCTCAAAAACCACCTAAACCCCTCAACATTTCGTTCTCCAACATCTGTGGCATTAGAACAAATCTTTCCTCACTGCAAACTGCCCGGATATACTGGCTCTGTGTGAGACAAACCTTGTCTCGTCTATTCCCTCCTTTGATCTTTGATCCACGGCTATCTTCCTCTCCTCAGGAAAGACTCTCTAACCCACATGCACAGCCTTGGTGTCTATGTCAAGGACCATCTTCTTCTGGCCAGAGAGTTGTCTCTGGAATCGCCAGACCATTCGTACATGTGTCTCCGACTATTTCTCCTCAATGCCGTAAGCTATCTCTTCTTCCTCTATCGCTCTCCATCCTCTCAAGACTGTGGGATACTCGATAGCATATCTGACAGCATAGACAAGGCCCTCTCTCTCCCACTATCCCTCTCCTCATCCTTTCTTCTATCACTCCTGTCTGCTCTCGCTCCAAATCTTCTGCAACCTTTGCTCGGGGCGTAATGCTTAAAAAAAAAAAAATAAATAAATAGTTTTTACATCATTACACATAGATTTACATAAAATTAGATTAGCATATATCATGTATATAATGATCTCTACACAATAGGTATATCATTTAGAAAATAATAATCCTTCCCATCCTTATAGATATATAGATATCCAGGTTAGAGGAGAAAAAAAAAAAAGAGTACAATTCCAATGTTTGTAGCATCTAATTTAAAAGAGGGCTCAATACAGAGTAGAGCAAAATATTATTTATTTTAGGATATTAAATCAAACATATCAAAAATCGCTACACAATTGACTGCCATTGGTTTTTGACATGTTTTTCATTTAATATCTTAAGATAAATGATATATAGATATAAAAATCTACATATTCAGTTAAAAAAACATCTTTAATAATGGTTAATAGTTTAGCCGAAAGGTCCACAGATATTTAGACAGTTTTTTTACACAGTATGTTCAGAAAAGAAATCTCTTGTATGAATGCAATAAAAATTTAATAAAAAGCTTAATTGCTGTGTCTTTTCAGTAGTTTTCAATGAAACATGTATAAAAGAGGGATTGCTGCTCAACACACACACACACACACACATATATATATATATATATATATATATATATATATATATATAGTCATCCACAGACAGACTGTTTTGCTATATCACAGCTCATCAGTGTGGCTAGACATTCGGTTGCCTCTAGCGAGGTTCGAAACCCAAATGAATTGGCGTCAATTGGGGATTCTACCACTAAGTCATTGGCACATGGCAGGTATGAAGATGAAT